AAAGAAAAACCAAAGCCATACAAATTGAAGCACAGATTACATAACGAGGGGGGATTATCCCCGAAAAAATGAAGCACCTCTTCAAGGAATGTTTCGACATAGCTTCACCAAAGTTCCCCTTTCAGAAATTTGTAGTGGAGTTCTTGCATAATTTGATACCATGGAAAGTGTTCGTAAGTCTTATTTAAAGTGCATTCAAAATGTGCACATTGCTCGCATATTAAAAACGTAGAAAAGAACAGAGCTTCTTTCACCAGACATTTTAAAGTTTAAATGTTTTCCATTTGACCTGTTTGTTAATCTAGTGACTTAGGAGGAGGGGTCTGCCATTATTTTATCAATTAGACCAATCGTTTTTTTTACAACATTCCCACGATAAGCTCTCATTGTCTTTTTAGGTGCTGTCACTGGTTGCCTTCATAGTCATGTTGTCCTCGCGCTCCGATCTTCGTAATGCTGGCCTCAACTTCTTTCTCTTCGTTGCCATAGCTGCTGTGTTGGTATCCTCACTCTGCTTAGCACTGCTTTCTACCCGCCTGCACCTTAAGGTGCCTCTTCCCTGGAATCTTGTGGTAAGCAAAGCAGTCATCGTTGTGAAAAAGAACAGCAGCTTTTGAAATAATTGGCTCTGTGCATTTGAGTTTCAGTGCCAAAGTCATGCATCTGTCTACCCGCCTGTACCTCAAGGCGCCCCTTTCCCAGAACCTCGTAGTAAGCAAAGCGGCCATAGCGCAAGAACAGGCGTTCAAACTTGACCCTGTGTATCATCAGTTTCAGAGCCATAGCATTTCGAACCAAACGTTGTTGCCGATGAAGGGTGAAGTTTTTGAAAACTTGCCCGTCCAGCGTACAGAATAGTTACCAATAATAAACAAAAGAAAAGTCTTGAGGTGTCTCCTTAAATTAATGGCGATTCAATTAACATGCGGTGTTTCGTTGTGCCTCTTTGTCTCTTTCTCTTGCTCAGTTCGCCGGACTCTACGCCATTATGTTCCTCGTGTATTTCATTGCATTCATCCTCGCCGCTGTGAATGCCATTGACGCCAAACATGGATCTGCTGTGGTAAGATCACTGTAATGGTGGACAGTGAAGAATGGGCCAATACGGGCGATTCCCAATAGTGCGCCTCCAAGAGTTTGCAACCCGTTGGCCAATCACAACGCTCGAAATTTGTCGACTCTTTCTACTGCCGCGCACTGGGTGGACAAGTTTCGCACACTGGAAACCAGATTTAAGATAAAAACAGCACTGGGTGTCGCTGGGATTTTTTCCAGGGGGCAAACACTTTTTTTTGGGGGGGGGCTGATTTCCAGAGGTGGGGGGACACTCATCGGCAACAAGCTAATAAACCAACAGTAAAAGAGGGTCAATTGTTGTTTTTCCCTCAGCAACTTAGTTATTTTCATGATCTCTGATCTCTTTTTCCTTATTTCTTTTACTTCTCGCTTTTTATTTTTCAATTTTCTCCCGGGAAGCGCCCCCGTGTCGTACCCTTGCAAAGCCCATGCACAGAATGAGCAGAAGAATGTGTCACGAAAACGCAACACACTACTTCAATCATAATGCATAATGTCAAGCAAATTTTCTCCGCAGAATGTTGGTTCCATTGGCTTGCCATATGTGATTTGCGATGAAATTTCCAGATTTTGAGACACACATGGGCTGGTTAAATACCGAAATTGCAAATATTAACCTGCACCCAATGCCTTTTATTCCTTAAGAAATGTTTACACTGAAACATTTTAAGTTTCCTCTTTTCCAGACCCTTGGATTCTTTGCGTGTGTGGCCTACTTTGGCAGTCTGTTCTTCGCTGTACAGGATTGGCGTCTAAATCGGCAGATGACCCAGGAATCCCAAGGTGCAACAGGGACGTACACAGAGCAACATGACACACCTCCTGCTTACGAAGCCTCCTACTGAAAGGACGAAGCAGAGACGTCACTGTGGGGAAGTTTCTGGAGGTACCTGGGGTACACGCATTAAAGGGCCACTAAGAGCAATCAAACTTTGGCTTCTACTGTAGACTGTACGCATTTAAAGGTTTCAATGGGGATGGGGCGGCCAGGGGGGTAAGGTCAACCGCTGAGGGAGGGAGCCCAAATGGTCGCTGCCCTCTTGATCCCTCTTGTGTATAGTTCATGCCACTGCGATGAAGCAATCTAAAAAATCTCGTTGTCGAGGCTCACGCCTCTGTAAGTCATTTCTACCAAACGCGGGTGTCGTTTTAAAAGGAAGAGAGGAGGCCGCGAAATTGTCGACAGACGCCAGCGATAGGGAAAGACTTGGCCGCATAATTTTCCATGAAGTTGCCGACCACTGAAACTGGGGGATACCATTTAATGTGGGGGCGCTTTTCGGAGTGGACGGTTCTACATGCACCGAGTCTCACACCGGGCGGTGCTGTTCATGGTAGCCTCTCTCATACCGAGTCTTTTCCATAATTATTCTGCTGAGAATCGTTTGATACTGCCAGCCTTCTTAAATCACAGGTATACTGCAACACATGCAGTTTTTGCAGTGCAGCCAACGCTGCTTAACAAGTTTTGGTCCACACTTCTCAGTCACGAGCTACATCCATTTTTTTCTTGTTAGTTTGTGAAGAAGGATAGTGGCTCCTTCCATTCAGATGTTTGCTCTCTTTTAATTATTGATAAGAGGAAATATTTCCACGAGAATCTCTATGAATTGCTCAGAATAGCCACTGGAAATAACTGTCAAGGCGTTATGACTTAGTACATGCTTCGAATTTATTCAAGCATGCAAAATACCATGGTTCAATTCAGAAAGGCCTTATCGAAGCCTGAAAAGCGAAATGGAAAAGTTTGAATTACTGTGCGCTAAAACATCACTGTTATTTTAAGTTATGAGTTTTTGCGTTTTTGCTAAGGTTTAAAATACTGCCGTCTTTAAATAAGCCATGGTATTTAAGTGACCATCTTGAAGATGACGAGTTTGCGTTCACGTCGTTCTCGATGTTAATATCACGTTTGAAAAATTTTATTTCAACATCTCGTGGACTGAGGGCCAAATAACATAAATGTTACAATAAAAAGTGATAAAATGGTCATCCATAAAAACTGCACACCAAAGCCAAAACAAAATATTTCGAAAAACATACATTCACACAAGCAGGTCTCATTATCTAAAAACAAATTTTCTAAAAGAAAAGAGCAAGAATTATGGTTTTTGCTTGTTTAAAAGAAAGGTACGGGACTTTCCTTGAAACGGGTAGTTCTGGAACGAATTTTAGAAAATTCCCACCTGTTTCTTAAAATGTCTTCCATGATCTTCAAGTCTGGTCGGCGGTAGCAAACAGCAAGTGCGAATGTTGTTACCCAGTAAGTCGAACAGAACCCTCAAAAGTTTCGCCCATTATTTCCCATTTTCATTAGGGAGCCAAAACAGGTACTATGCAGCAGAAAAAGGAATTCCGTTTGCATTTTCTGCGCGCAAACTAACAGAATTACCATGGACTCATTTTGTGTGATCCGGTCCTATATGAAAAGGTGTGGGCTCGGATCACGGTATACACTCCGAATAGGCCAAGTTTCCTGTAGCTGCTATTCTAAAGCGAAAATGGTAACAAGTTACCTTTGTATAGTCGTAATGATAACAATATAGGGAAAATCTCAGTCGTTCAGTGATAGGATTATAAAACAGGATTATTAAATTATGTGTACAAGCTTTAGTTATACTTTTGCATAAAATATGATTAAAGGAAACATGCAGTGATATCTGGCTCAACTTATTTTCATGCATACTACTCTGTGGTACAACAATATACGAACAAGATGTAAATGCTTGTTTTCACTGGAAGTGAAAGGGAGGGGACATAGGTTTTCAGTGAGTGTCAAAAATACTTTAATCAACGTATGCACTGGGGGCGCTGTTTTCATATTATCAGAGCTGTGGTTGTCATTCAAAGAAGTCCTTGTCAACAGAGCGAAAGACCAGTACAAAAATTAGTCTTTCAAACTCCCCCACCAACAATGTTTTGAAGAAATAGTAGCCACTCCTATTGGCAAAGTAAGTGTTTAACATGAAAACCAAGTATCTACTCCAAGCAAATGAAGAAAAATGTGATACATAATTGAATACACAAACCTCAGAAGACACTCCTGTTCTCCCTTGAATGACATCAGGCTTTGGCTTATGAATATGGAAATCGTCCCTAGCATAAATTTTAAATGCTGAAATTGTTCCCTTTTATTTCTGCAAAGGCGGGAAGTCATTGTAACATGTAATTGTGATACGTGTATTCGGCCATGATCTCACTACATGTACGCAGCTCTTAACATACGTGTATAAATTTGGGTTTATGGTTTGTAGAATCCGTCGTCCTTTCCTCCGCAGTTAATCAACGACCTCAAATACAAGTTTGTACATTTTCACTTCCCGCTGATTGTTATTTACACAATTTTTGTGCAGAGTGGATTTTTTTAAATGTTATCAGCCTCGTCTGTTATCCATTGTAATATTCCAAATATCCCTAATGTGCTTTCTCAAGCCAAACCCTTATGAGTTTGTTCGATCTGTTTCGCTTAGACTGGTTTTCATGAACGGGAAACCATGCAGTATCCAACGAGGTAAACGGAAACTTCCAAGAGGAAAACCTTCATACAACTAGCATTATGAGCATTGCTTGAGTATTTAGGGGCTATCATTTCATATATGAAAAAAAAAAAGATTCGCAATACGTTTACTCAAGCAAACCTAGAATTTGTGCAATATTTCTTCACAAGTTGCAAAACATATGTAGATTTTTGAAAGGTATCAGCACATTAGATTATTTTGGGTAGCCTTTGTTGCAGCCTTTGGTGCAAAAAGCTTTTGGTACATAAAGAAATAATGTATTTCATCTTCCTTTATCTGCATCTAATTAAAATGAACTTAATATTCGCTTTAAATTTTTAGGTACAAAATACAGCTTTATCGTAACGGTACATTTTCAGTGTTTTCGAGTACTTTGCAGCTTGTTTCTGGTGTGTAATTATGTTCGCTTGGTTTTAGCCCGCTGTTTTTGTGTTGAAGAAATACGGTAATGTATTTACTATGGGGACAAATCAGCGTCAACTCTATTATTACCACGCCTTTTAAAACAGCTGCAACAAGCTATCTTAAACCCTTGCCTGAACTTCTTGTATTTGAACTCGTAGATTATCGGGTTAATGACGGAATTCAAATAGAAGGCAAAATTACTAATTCCTCTAAAATAAATATATCTTGTTGAACCACAGAAGGCAAAAAGGGCGTTGTCTGATGGATACAGACAAATAAGACTGTTAATGTAACTTGGTGTCCAAAGAATAATTTGAGCTCCTACGACAATTGTCAGCATGTTGACCAGACGCTGTCTAGCAATTACCAGATCGTAGGCTGCAGCCCTTGCATGCTGCAGGTTTAGTGCATTGGCTTGTCTTTTGAGAGTGACTTGCATCTTGTAGTAGGCAAAACTCATCGACATTATGGGTATTAGGAAGGAAAGGAGAAACAAGAATACACCTACAGAAACTGGATATATCAGGCTGGGATATCCAAATTCTAAACAAGCCTTGTCAGGATCCTTGCTGGATTCTCTTGAGAAGAGAAGAGGGGTAGAAAAAAGAAACGATGTCGTCCAAGACAGAGCAATCAGAAATGTCATCCTTGTAGCTGTGAGTTTCCTTTCATATTGTAATGGATGTACTATGGCGACATACCTTTCTAATGTTACCACACAGAGATTGTAAGCTGATGCGCAAGAGAAAGCCCAGCTAAAATAGCGAGATGCCAGGAGTCGACAGAAAAGTTCTTTCCCACCAACGTTTGTAGGAACAATTCGAATCAGTGCAAAGTTTTCATGCACAGCAAGGCAATTAAACACTGAATACAGACAAAGCAGTGTATCGGCCACTGCCAAATTCACCAGGAGGTAGTTGGCCCTATTGTGCAGGAATTTGACGCGTAGAATCACGAAGCACACTAAGAGGTTTCCTATGAAACCAACGACTCCTTCCAGTGCCGTGAGCAGACAGATCCACTTACCCGGTGTTGAGCCCTCCACTCCACGCGTTGCGTTCATTGCAGAATTGTTTGTTGTCACTTTTCCATGAAGAGACAACTCTGAGTTGATATTGTAAAATCAGGTTGTTGATCTGTAAATTACAGGGCTTTTAGTTCTCACGGCATCCTCCTCCTCTGCGATGAGATGCGCCACCCCGAAGAGAAAGTGTGAAGTCGGAATTAAATGGAAAGTAGTTCTCAGCCGCTTTCCCGTCAGCTTTCTACAGTTTTTAACACACCGCTCATGTGAAGATAAACATATGATGCACGTGTACTTTGACATTGGAGCGTTAATGAAATCCTTAGTATTTTAAAGTCGACCAGAATATGGTCACAGCTACAACTTGAACGATCGACATCAAGTTGCATAGTTGCTTGATCGTCTCATCTGGTCTCTTGGTTGCTGCCAAGGAGTCGAACGATATTTTCCAGTATAGGCAGTGGTTATCCGAATTCCTCAAGTCAGAGTAGGCAAGTTGGTCATCACCATTGCTGGCTGTGTGGACTGATCAGTTCTCCTTTTATGCTCACTCTGGGCAACTACTATGCTCTGCGCAGTGCCCCGAGCCGGACCAGCCTAAATGCAATAGCGTAGAGGATGGTCAATGGCTACTGCACCTTGACACTTGATACTTCACCGCAGGATTCGGAAATAGAGCCTGGCAACGGCTGTCTGGTTGTCACAGAAGCGCTGTCCTCATATTCGTTTTTTTAATTGAAAGACCGATGGGCACGGTTCATTTCATTGCTGACCAACATAACGAATAGCGCAGAGTAAACATCTTAATGAAAATGGAGTAGCTGAATGCATGCGCGTAAATCTCGGGGAATGAGACGCGTCCACGTTTTGACCAGTGGGGGATGGGCTCCCTTCCCACTTTTTCGTGATGAGAAAAAAAATTAAGGAGGTTTGTGAAGAATTTTTCAGACGTCCCATTCATCAAAATGTATTCAGTAGCGCCATGGACTTAAGTCATTCGGGGATGGGGGTACATTGCATCACGATTGATGCATTGCACTTAGACCCTGCCGATATTGAATTAAAAGATTTTGAACAAGCTGCGTAAATGTGACCTGTCGCCAGAAAGTGAGCTAGCACTTGGAGTTTTTAAAAATTGAAAAATTGATATTTTTCACTTCAGTAGAACCAAAGCTTTCCAATTGTATAATTGTATGCGGCTTTGCGTCTTTGTTTTAAACCAAACTCCCAACTTGACCCCCCCTTCAATTTTAGATTTTCAATTGTTATAGGAAATAGCCGAGTGCAACTCTACGCTCATTTTTTTCGTCAGGGGTCACAAAACAGATGATCCATAGATGACTGCTGGAACCAACACTAATTTGCTGTCAGTCACCGTATCCGTGCTGAGTTATTTGAATGATGCAAGTGACAGTAGACAAGCTGAATATGATTGTTCATAGCAGATGGTCAACGTTCACCTGATGGTCAGCAATAGTTGTTCGTCTAATGCCATATCGACCATCGGTTAATATTTGTGCTTTGTGAAACAGAGACTCTCTGTAACTACAGTAAAAGAAACCACTCTTTGAAAAGATGTTTTATACTCGTTTTCGTGTAATCTACTATTTTATAAATGAAGCTGGCATCTTTTCGAGTGATTTTTCTCAGTCTCTTGCTTAGAGTGCCACCAATCCCAAACACCCGGTTGCAGTTGTTCCTACAGACCTTTTTCCTGTGATGTCACGATCGTGCTGGACCGCGATGTGTTGTGATGGTGATCTACTTATTCAAGATGAACTAGTCAAGCATGCAGGGTTTGCAAGTGCGCTTGCACGTGGTTGAAGCTGCCCGTGGGAATATTTACGATCACCGTGGCCAAGGCGGTCCACACGTGGTGCTATTGTTAACATTTAGTGCAATTCAGTCACGTGGGTGAAAAAGTCCATGGACTGTTTTGAACAGTCAGTTGTATTACGTGTATAATTATAACCCGGTTTGGTGGACACAATGCCAGTCCAACAGCTTGAGCAGGTTGAATTGAGGTTCAAACAATAATACATGTTCAAATCTAAGCCCCACGCCCTCTCCACAAACCCCGCCCACAACCATCTCCACCAACACTGAACACTGCATCCATACAGCAACTCCTGAGACTGTTTGAGGGTCTGGGGTTAGTTTACTCGGCTTTGGCTAGCTTTGCACACGTGCATGTATAAGTTTACTCCTAGCTCAAGCCGTTTATTGATTAACTCTTTTGCTTGGTGTACAATTTTTTTTTCATTCATATACAAAGTGCATGCTTATGAAGCCACACTGGAATGTAGTCGATACCTTCAGTGGATTGCAGTTTGTACAGAGAGAATTCTGTGTACGGATGACACTACGATTCGCTACAGTGACCTATCTGAAAGCAATAGAATGTCCCGAAGAATTTCGGCAGAGAAAAGATTTTGATATGCACTTACAAACAAACTTGTTTTTATACCAGTCTATCTCGTAGGGTTTGCGCACAGGGTGTCAAGTGACTTCCATATGTTAGATTCTTGCCAACATATTAATAATATTTATAAGTGAATGAAAGGAGGGCTCCACTTTAAATGGAAGGTTGTAATCGCAACAGACAATGTTAGCACTGCAAATCGAAACATTTAGAGCGAACACCAATTGGTAGAACGTCTAAAATGCTGTACTGTAAGGATTGTTATAAAACAAATTTCATTGCATGGATAGTTTTGACAAGTAAAGGCAGTTGAAAATTGAATTTTGTCTGATTTCAGGGATGATGACCAATTCAATCCGATATTTTACATACCACGCTGAATCTGACCCGATCCAATTCTGATTCGGATCGGACAAGAAGTGCACTTCTGAAAAACCAACATTGAAAAATACAGCAACGCCGATCTAGTTTTACTTACATGATTCGTAGCCTGACAATATCCATTTTTCAGTACTACAAATTAGTCATGAAATCATCATGTTGTCACAGATATGAAAAACTGTTGACGCATATACTTACATGTACCTCCATGTCTTTAGGTGGGCAACTCAAGACTTTCTTAGCGCATGCAGGTAGGTACAGAATCATTTAATGTTCTTGGTGCTGTAGCTTTAGTCGAATAGCAACCAGCATAGACGTCTCTGTATTTTATAGGTCTGGTGAGGTGTGGTCAGGAGCAACACTCAATCACCGTGGATCCAAGCAGCTAATGTCATTAGTCGTGCTCGTATTAAGTTGTTCCTTTCTAAGTTTTCCCAGATGTCCTTGCTATGTTGTTTTCATCCCAACCGTTATGAGCTCGGACTATTTGTCTCGCTTAGACTGGTTTGAAACAGGAAACCAGTACCCAAAGAGGTCGGGCGTACTCATGCGGCTTTGTGTAACAAGCATGAACTAGACGCTATTCTCGTCCCTTTTGAAGTGGGTAACGCTATGTTTAATAATTTAATTTCAATTCCAAAAGATTAAAGAACAGCTGTGTTTTTGTTTAAAATAAAACTCTTTCGAAATTTGAAGAGGATGTTTGGTTATAACAACAAGAAGTGGGGTTTACAGCGAATTCGTCTGTCACACGTTTTTACCAAAAATTCATAAAAATGGTTTCGGACACAATGTTATTGCAAATGATTCGAGATATTCAATATAACATGCCGTAAAACATGTAAAAATTATATCATTGCAATTGCAGTGCAGTACATTAACATGATGTAGTGGGGCAGGTGGATATTGGAAGTTAAGCGTGTGCGCTCTAGAGGGCGCTGTTTGGTGTGCTACCGCTTAGGCGTCACTTTTGCGGCTGTCTAATTTTTCGGGAAGTCTCAAATCCAATCTTAATTTTCTACAAATGGGGCATCTTTACCTGACTGGGTAAGTCATTTATTGCCATAATCATCGTACTCAATACTTGCAACTGCAAGAAACAGAACAGGTCCAGGAAACTCACACTTAAAGGGGATATTTATCAGTATAATTGTTCTGTTTTTATACCGATTTGAGGCCTTGGCCGCATTGTGTACCGTGGTAGTACTAGTAGCGGTAAGTAACGGATCCATTACAGGGTATTTGTCTCGTACTTACCCAAGTTTTATCCGTATTTTTGTAAAGTATCAGGATATAGTGTACTACACTTTTCCACTCAAATTGGGAGCCTCTGTTTGAGTCATTCTCTTGAATCTCTTCAGTTGATTACATGTACATGACTTACTGTTTTATCACACTGAAGGCCTGTGTGTTCCTATTTAGTCTCATGCGTCATGCTGTTTAGTGTCAACAAGCATCAACAAAGTGTCAACAAATTATTCAAGCAAAATGTATAGGATCCTACGTGTCAAATTCAATGTATTATACAGTGTATCTATCTGAAATGATATTTGAATGTTCAGATTTGAGTGGCAATGTTGGGCCTGTTTGTGCAGTCCGACTGGCTGCCATCTTGTTTTCGGCAGAGGAAAGAAAGATGGCGGGCCCCATACATTGCAAAAAATGTTTGTTTTCCCGCGAGAATTTGGAAGCAAATTGGTGTTTTTCTTACACAGTGGCAAGTTTTAGAGTCTCTGAAATACAAAAAAACCACTTTTAAATCTATAGAGGATATTTTCAAGTTATTGACTCTTTGTTGACACTACTTGTGTGTGTTGACGCTTGTTGACACTTGTTGACACTAAATAGCACGACCAAATCTCATTAGTCCATTGACTCACTCACATGCAGTTGATCATAACTTCAAGACTTACAAGTGTTTATAAGGTCAAAGGTTATACTGTTTATTGTTCATTTTATTACCAGCATAAGTGATACAGACACCTGTATAAGCCGTATGTACACCATCAATAATTGCTGTTCCTGCTAATTTTAAATACTGTTCACTAGCTGTTGGTGCTGAGTCTAGTCTGTTATTAAACCTGGAGCCTGGATACATATTGAAGTGAACACTGTCCGGTGTGTTGTTCTTGATTGTTTTTATCCTTATTGGCCAGCAGTAATATCTGCCCCCCCATGTCTACACCAACAGAAGTAATAGATCGCAAGTGCCTAACTGGAGTCAGTGAGTACCAAATAATGCACAACTTTGCGCAACCTTGCACTGGTAATTCTACAAATTTGGTCCTTCGAGCCGGATTATTTGGAAGACCTAACTGTCTTGTGTCAGGTGATTTGGCAGTCCCATCTCTACCTATTACCATTTGGATGCAATGCAGTCATGGACAGTGACTCTGCTGTTGTTACCACCCTGCAACAGTCCCCCAGTCTGTCCCAACTCCAGAGCTCTATTAGTAGTTCACAGGATATCTCCTGCCAGGATGCCCATCCTCACCTTGCATGACCTACAGATTCCAGGAGGCCACCTTCATTATTCAGTTGCAATACATGTAGGATCTCAAGTTCTGTCACATCACACTCCCCATTAGAACTGGCCTGGTGGTTGGCAGAGCAATAGTCATGTTAAGGGCTTCTGGAGCTTGCGAGGGTAGTGGAAAATTAGTGAGCGATGATTCACATTGAGTCAGAATCATTCCAGCAAATAGCCAACCTTGCACATGAGGCAGATAGATTTTGAGCTGAAGAAGGTGGGAAGCCAGGTGAATTGGAATTGCTCCTACAAGAACTTCAGGAGATGCAAGATATAGATATCTCGGAGAGAGAAGCTGAACTCCTTTAGAGTGACCAGAAAAGCTGAACACTGGACTGGGTTAATGGCAGCATAATTTCTGTTCCTAACCATTCTAGCCCCATTGTTTCTGCAAGTGAACCTGTAACAGTAAGTATGAGTTTCCATGGATCAGTGCAATCAAATTGGGGTTTTGTTGCTACTGTGGGGGGGGTAAGGTCACATGTTCCGCTGAGATAAATCCCTCAAGTGTTTTGCCAAGATTGTTTTCAGCCATCTATACCTTTGCTTGCCAGCCAACATCTGTGCCGTCAGAGCTGCAATCCTCAAAACCTGCATTTCTGTTCGGTGATAAAGGGGCAGCAAACTTTAATTTTACATCAGTGCCCATGGGGATTAGTCCATTGTCACTACCTTTCACTCTTTCTGTCTTAGTTACCTCAGCTACTCCACAGCCTATGTATGTAACAGATGGAAGACTGCAGAGTGCCCAGCCCGTGATGGTCTTTTCACCCGCTGATTAATCTCAAATAACAGGAGGTGTGATATTCCCCGGAGACAAGGCCGGGCCAACAGGTATCAAGTTGTCCAGGTCATAAAAACACTCACAGCAGGATCAGTCTGGTTGTATTAAATCAGCTAATCCCAACCTGAGTGATTCAAGTGATGCTTGTACCTCATCTGATGATGATTCTCATTGCACCTGCAAGTAGAACAAGCGTAACAGCAAGGTGTCTCCTTCCCAAGCCACCAGACGCGTTCCTGCAGTGTACCACCTACATACGGGTACGGCATGCTCAGGGACAGCTTACCCAAACTTCACATCCGTAAGTTTGACGAAGAGCATAACATCCAACAATATGTAACATTCAAATCACTATGGGACAGCATAAAGAACAAAACCGAGTGTGGGTTGCCAGAAGCTACCAAGTTTGCTTATTTCAGAAGTCACCTAGGTGGGCGTCCATTGGCCATGGCAGATAGAAATCTCTACCACAGTGAAGCAATTTGATAAAGGTTTTGGGGAACCTGAAAGAGTTGTACAGGGCTTGCTAATTCAACTGGAGACGCATTCTCAGCTCTCATACAATGACTGGACTGGGCTGCGAGACTTCTCTGATGAGGTAGCCACAATGATTGAGACTTCCAAGAAATTGGGCTTTGAGGTGGAACTGAGACATCACAAGTATGCTGCTGAACTGGCCAAGAAACCTCCAGAGCAGCTTCATACAGATTTCTTGTCTAAGAACCGTGACCTACATACATATCCTCATGGAGCATCTCAGCCTATGGTTGAAGAAGAGTGGTCCCGTTGGGCTAATACTTCTAGAAAGGTCAGAGGTCAAGTCCAACAAGGGCTCAGGCCAGAAACAGTACCGTGTCACTTAGCGGCACCAAAAAGGGCCTGCAACTCGTACTCTATCATCAGCAAAGACATATGTAGCCAAGACTCTTTCACCAAAATCTGAGGGAGCCACTGTACTGAGTGCCAAGGTTGCTGCACAGAAATCAGCAGCAGTTGGAGTAGCTGATGGTAGTTCAGCAAACTCGGCAGCCAAAAGAGCAACTTGTCTGTTCTGCCAGGTCAGTGAGCCAGGTCATTATCTGGAGACGTGTGACAAATTCCTGAAGTTGAGTCAGGATCATCAAAAGTTGAACTAGCTAAAGGAAAACAGCTGATGCTTCAAGTGTGGCAAGAAACATTGTAAGGACCGCCAGTGCAAGGAGTGTGAGGGTGATCACCGAAACAGCTTGCATGAAGTGGCTACAATGTCAGTTGCTAAACAAAAGGTTGTTGCGCTGTGTACAGGATTTGGCAATAAACCCCCTGAGTCTGGACTACGAACTTGACGTCTTGATAAAGACTGTTACACTTACAGTCCAGGGGGTAAGTTAGAAACCTTTTGGGTCCGAGATGAATGTGCAGCGAGGACTATGATTGTTCCTTGGGCTGTAGAAAGACATCATATTGCATAGAAAGAGGAAACTCTTAGAGTTGACACGGTCATGGGAGACACCAACTGGGCAGGCAAATGTGTGACTTTGCTTTGTCGCTGAGAGGAAATGCGTTACAGCGTTTTGGTTGAAAGGTTGCAATCAAAGTGGCCACATCTGAGGAACATACCTCTGTTCTCTGCCGATCGAGTGAAACCAGGGGTGTTAATGGGGGCTGATAACATTGAGTTGACCCTCTTATCTGAAGTGCGCACTGGTCCCAAGATGAGATCTCCAGTTACTGTTAACACACTTTTGGGGGGACAGTTCAGGGCAGGCAGGGCTTGCAGTATTCCAGAACCCTACCTGAGAGCAAGCAGATCTTATTCACGACGTGTCAAGACTGTGAGCACGAGTTCCGCCATATGATGGACCTGTTCATGGCCATCGATAGGTTGCCAAATGTCAACTCAAAGAACGTAACCTGCTCAAAAGAGGACATGCTGGCAATCCAGATTTTTGAGGAAAACACAGCTTGTGTGCAGGTGGATGGAATCCGACGTCTACAAACCCCACTGCTGAGGAAATTCGGTAAGAGATCTTCCACCTGGTACTCCAGTTTCTTCTTGCATTGGCCCGTTCGCACCAAAGGAAGACATTTGCAGACCCTGCCTTGGCTGAGTATTGTCAGACATACATGCAGAGGTCGGGAGACCAAGGGCATGTCCAGTATTTCGGTCCTGTGGAGGACATGACGTCTGATACCTTAAGATTGTACATACCCTGTCATGGGTGGTTTTCAATTGTTCCTTCACCTATGCAGGTCAGAATTTGAATGAGGTGTTATTGATACAGGCCCCACTCAGGGTCCATCCTTGCTAGAAGTGCTCGTGCGTTTTCGAGGGAGACGAGTGGCAGTGTCAGGAGACATTACAGCTATGTTTCATCAGGTGGTGCTATCCCCTGCAGGTTCAGGTTCTTGTGGTGGGATGAAAATTGAAGAAGTGGATTGTTGCAGAGAGAATGGTATTGCCCTTCGGTGCTGCGTTTAGCCCTTGCTGTGCAACATTTGCCTTGTAGAGGCATGCCAAGGATTCCAACCAGGAGCATCTTCCCGTCAACGCCAACCACCAGACACTTACCAGGTACAAGCAAATGTACCTAATGGATCATTAACAGTAGAAGATGAGAATAAGGTCAAGAAATCAATCTTCTGTGGTCTAACAATGATTGTGTGGTTGGTCCAGTGGCAGATGTAGACTTACGTGTCTCCAATGGTTGGGCGGGTCTAGTGGATGCAGTAGGAAATGAGGGTTATGCCCAGGAAAACATGAATCTCATTGTACCCAGTCCGAATCACATTTGTGAAGTAGAATGTCAGCTGCTGCGGCGAGCCCAACAGGAAAGTTTTCTAGAAGAACTTGCCGCTCTACATGCTGGAAAGCCAGTACATCATTCCTGTCACGTGCTTGGTCCAGAAATTGACCTTCCAGCAAACTTATTCGAGTCGGTGGCCGTCTCAAAAGTTTGCCAAAAGATGCCTCAGGGTCCTTAGACCCTCACCCTGTAGTCCTTGATCCTCATCACCCAGTGACCAAACTTCTTAACAATCAGGCGGATGAGCACTTCAGCCACCAGGCCAGGACAGATCAGGTATTTGTCCATCTAAGGAGAACGTTTTGGATCTTGCGTGGGCGAAGTGCAGTAAAGGGTATTCTTAGCAGTTGTGTTCAGTGTCAACGCTGGCGCAAAAAACCGGAGGTCCTTTGTATGCCAGATCTTCCCAAGTGACGATTTAGGTTGCACAAGCCACCTTTTTGTTCAATCGGAATGGATTGCCTTGGACCTATGATGGTCAAAGTCGGAAGGAGTGATGAGAAACGCTGGGGTCTACTATTCAAGTGTTTGACGACTAGGGCTGTTCATTTGAAGTTGGTGGCTAATATGGATACTGACCATTTCCTTATGGGGTATCTGTGTTTCGCCTCCCGTCGAGGGGTACGGTATGAGTTGGTTCGTGATTGTGGCACCAGCTTTAAGGTTACAGACACTGAGATCCATAATTCTCTTAGGGAAATAGAACCAGCTTTGGTGGGGAAACACTCCAAGTTTAAAGTTTGTGTTTGATTTAACCCCCAAATACCCCCATTTTGGTGGGACCTGGGAGCAAGAAGTTCGCTCTGTGAAGGGGGATTTGAGAGCTGTGCGCCAGGACCGTACTGTTCCAGAGCCAGTTCTACATACAGTCCTCGTTGAGGTGGAAGGTGTTGTAAATTACTCTTAACATGTTGCTGATGGGGAGGCGGGACCCTGCCTTGCCAATGGTTGTATATGATGTCTCTGAATTGAGGGGATGACGCAGTTGGCGACATAGTCAGATACTGGCCAACCAGTTCTGGCGTCAGTTCATTTGTTCCTACCTTCCCACCCTATATACCCGCCAGAAATGGCTGCAGGAAGTGAAGAATCTTGTTGTCGGTGATGTTGTCATGATCATGGACCCCAGCTCACGAGGTCCCAATGGCCAGTTGACAAGGTGACCGAACTACTCCAATCTAGTGACGACCATGCCAGGGCTATGCGAGTTAAGGTTGGTAGTCGTGATTATAAACGCCCAGTAGCCAGTCTTTTCCGGTTGGACAAATACAATGCAGATCCTCCAACCAATGAAGCTAACATGGTGCTAACTTAGTGTAGAGTTCCCTTTTGGCTTGTGACCAAAAGGAGCCTGCCCAAGGCAAGGTATACACACATATGTTTTTCAATTCGTTATTCCAGGTTTTGTCACGCTTTCTTGTGATCTACCATAGTTCCCGTTGGTGAAGTAAGCATTCAAATTTTCTTCCAAAATTTGAGGGCGGCCGTGTTGGAAGTTAAGCGCGCTCCCTTTTTCAGCTGCCATATTTTGAGGGATTGAAGTCTCAAATCCATTCTTATTTTTCTATAAAAGGGGCATCTTTGCCTGATTGAGTAAGTCACGTATTGCCATAATCATTATATTCAATGGTTGCATCTGTAAGAAACAGAATGGGTCCAGGAAACTTACACTTAAAGGAGATATTTATCAATATAATTGTTCTGTTTTATACCGATATGTGGCCCTAGGCCTCATTATGTACTGTATAGTAGTAGCGGTAAGTAACCAATACAGGGAATTTGTCACGTACTTACCCATGTTTTAACCATGATTTTGAAAAGTATCAGATGATAGTGTACTGCACCTTTCCACTCGAATTGGGAACCTCTGTTTTGAGTCATTCTCTTCAGTTTAGTACATGTACATGACTTGTCACACTGAAGGGATGTGTGTTCTCTCATTTATCTATTTAATCTCAATAGTCCATTGACTCACTCACACCCAGTTGGTCGTGACTTCAGGTTATCTACAAGTGTTATTAACGAGGTCAAAGTTAATAGTGTTTATTCATTTTATTGCCAACATAACTGTACAGACAACTGTATAAGCCATACGCCATCAACAATTGCTGTTCCTGCCAATTGTTAACTGTTGTTCACTAGCTGTTGGTGCTGAGTCTAGTCTATTATTAAACCTGGAGCTAGGATACACATTGCGTTGTCCGGTGTGTTATTCCTAATTGTTTTTATCCTTATCGGCCAGCAGTAAGATCCGCCCCCTGTCTACACTAACAGAAGTAATAGATCACAAGTGCCTAACCGGACGTGTTATAGAGTCGGTCAATACCAAATAATGCACAACCTTGCGCCGGTAATTCTACAATGGAGGTGTTTCGAAGTTGTGCACTTGACTCAATTAGGATGCTGACGCCGTCCACACATCTACATTGGACAACAAGAAGAGGAGAAGGAAATCACTTGTGGCGCCCTAAATTTCCTTAGGACCGCCTCATATAGAGAAAGCCTCAAGCACTGAACGTGGAAATATCATGTCGAAACCAGGGATGTTTTTAGGTTTTGGGTCAATGGGCAAAAACAATTTTAGAATAGAAGAAAAAATTTTCCCCTTCCGTTAAAATAAATTCATTCTTGTCAAGCACGATGTGAAAAATGTTGGGAGAGTGCATTGCAAAAGTGTAGCGCATTAAATGCATGGTTGTTACTCAGTGAAATGTTTCCCTCATGCTTTATTTTTTACTCAAAGTAGCTCTTAGTTATCCAATGCCGTTGAACATACTAGGCTTATGGCTGCAATAAGGTAATACGTGCAGCGACATGCAGCTGCACGTTTTCAGTGTTGCCATACTCATATCATTGTTACATTAGACAAATATCAGCGTTTACAAGCTCTCACTTACTGAATACTGAGACTTTTTGCATTATACATAGAACTGGCCTTTTTAAGTCGGAAGAGTTTAACAACCAGTTGTTGGGTAGAAACTTACGCCAAGGATTGGGCAAAGTTAGATACTAACATTATTTAACATTATTTGCCAGATTCGTTCTTGTCCTTTATGTTCACATTTGAATTTAATTTATAAGGTCGTCATGATAGTCAGCATTGATTCAGCGTTGTTACCAACTTTATTCGCTAGAACGACCCAAGAAGGTTGCCATAGAATTGTAAGCTAACTGTTGACTGAATTAGATAATTGAAAAGCAGACTATTACTGCATACTGGATCTGGATACTGAGGAGCTGTGCAATGATGCAGGACTTATATACAGTTAAAAACAGGATGTAGTTAAAGTCACAAAACTTAAGAAAGGAAAGTCTTAGTCACATGTCTTAGCTGGATTCTTAGAACAATGACCGTGAATAAAAAATTTCACCTTAAAACAAAGCCCTTTGTGGATGATAGTACAAGCTTAAATGAAGAATGCTGAAGTGTGCCTAGCCTCTGGGCCAACAAGGTCAAATAGGCGGAAGCAATATACACTGTACAAGACACTGTGTGGGTGTACTCTTACAAGGAAAATGCAGTGAGTAATGTGTCCAAGAAATGGCAAACAGGATATATACAGGAAAAGAAAAAGTTACCAAAGTTAAGAATGAAGATTCTGAATGCTAAATTCACTAAAAGAAATAAATGCAAATAATTCAAGTAATTGTGCAGAAAACGCTACAAATTTATAAAGGGGGATGGACATAAATGTCAAGCCACATAGGCTCACATGTTGGCCGATTTATGCAGACTTTACAATCGTGCTGGAGGACCAAACATGACGTAGTATTAACACCCTACATTAATGTATATTCAAATATGAAGAAATTGGTGTGGGGTTTTCCGCAGAGGACAGGGGATGGGCCATTTGGTAAACCTCCTTAATTACTCACAAATATTAATGTGGTGGAAATGTCACTGAAGTCAAAAAAGCTACAAATGCATTGATACAAACGTTTGTTTGGAGGAGAGCTCCAAAACTTTTTACCGTGGCTAACATTTCCACACAATAATAGAATAATGCACTACGGCTATTTGTCATTCCGAAAAAGCTTTCAAATGCCTATATTTCCTACCAGGAAAACTTGAATACGGCAATTATGCCTGTGGGTGTTTTTGAACACTAGAATCATAAACATTACTTGTGTATTTACGAGCTATCGTCATCTCCTCATGTCATGTACATGAAATTTACATCAAATTTACCAAAGCAAACTGAGAATAACTGAGGTTGTAATGAAGATAAACTTAACTTTTCACAGTTCATTTTGAGGTAATTATAATACAGCTTTATCATTACCGTACATTTTCAGTGTTTTCAAGCGTACTTCACAGCATATTTCTGGTGTATAATTATGTCCACTTGGTTTTAGCCCGCTATTTTAGTGTTGAAAAAATAATGTATTTACGATGGGTTCACCTAAAAGTCAACTCTGTTTTTACCACACCTTTTAAAACAGCTGCAACAAGCTATCTTAAACCCTTGCCTGAATTTCTTGTATTTAAATTCGTAGATTATCGGGTTAATGACGGAGTTTAAATTGAAGGCAAAATTACTAATTTCTCTAACATACATATAACCTGTTGAACCACAGAAGGCAAAAAGGGCGTTGTCTGATGGATACAGACAAATAAGACTGTTAATGTAACTTGGTGTCCATAGAATAATTTGAGCTCCTACGACAATTGTCAGCATGTTGACCAGACGCTGTCTAGCAATTACCAGATCGTAGGCTGCGGCCCTTGCATGCTGCAGATTTAGCGCATTGGCTTGTTTTTTGAGAGTGACTTGCATCTTCTGGTAGGCCAAACTCATCGACATTATGGGAATTAAAAAGGAAAGGAGAAACAAAACTACACCCACAGAAACTGGAATTGCCAAGTTAGGGTATTTGAATTCTAAACAAGCCTTGTCAGGATCCTTGCTGGATTCTCTTGAGAAGAGAAGAGGGGTAGAAAAAAGAAACGATGACGTCCAAGATAGAGCAATCAGAAATGTCATCCTTGTAGCTGTGAGTTTCCTTTCATATTGTAATGGATGTACTATGGCGACATACCTTTCTAATGTTACCACACAGAGATTGTAAGCTGATGCGCAAGAGAAAGCCCAGCTAATATAGCGAGATGCCAGGAGTCGACAGAAAAGTTCTTTCTCACTAGCACTTGCAGGAACAAAACGAGATAATGCACAGCTGTTATGCACAAATAGGCGATAAAACACAGTGTCGAGACAAATAAGAATATCGGTCACTGCCAAATTCACCAGAAGATAGTTGGTCCAATTTCGTAGGAATTTGACGCGTAGAATCACGAAGCACACTAAGACGTTTCCTATGACACCGACGACTCCTTCCACTACCGTGATCAGACAAATCCAGTTACCCACTGTTGAGCCCTCTTGCTCACTTTGTCCATGCGTTGCATTCATTGCAGAAAATTTGGCTGGCACTTTTTGCGAAACAGTTGGGTGTCAAAAGTTCAAACGGAAAGAGAGCCACTCCGACTTGATGTCGTAAAATGAGACCTATTAAACAGCTTTAAGTTTTCACGGTAGCACCCTCTTATTGTATTCATAAAATCCTTGTAATTTCCAAATCGACCGGAATGGACACAGCTAGATTACAACGATCGACCTCCCAGCTGGTCATTCGGTTGCTGCCGAAGGATATTTTCCATATAGGCATTGGTTATCCTAATTCCCCAAGTCAGAGTAAGCAAGTTGGTCATCACCGTTTGCTGGTTGTCTAGATTCATCAGTTCTCCTTCCATCTTCACTATGGGCAACTAATGTTTTGTGTAGTGCCCCGGGCCAGATCAGCCTTCTTGACTTTAAATCCAATAGCGTAAAGGTGGTGTATGTTCACCGCACCGTGAAAATGCGTTCCCGAAATTAAAGATCAGGATATAAGGCTTGCATGGCAACGGCTATCTGGTTGTCACTGAAGCGCTTTCCGTACGTTCTTTCATTAATTAAGCGAGACACTGATGGGTACGGTTCTTTTCATAGATGACTAACATAATGAACTGCGCAGTGTAAACATCATCTTAATGAAAACGGAGTAGCTGAATGCATAGGCGTAAATCCCGTGGGATGAGGCGCGTCCACTTTTGACCAGTGAGGGATGTGCACGTAGAGTACGCTCCCTAGTACTGCTTAGTAGCAAGCTGCCGCTGAAAAACAAGAAGCCAGGGATAATGCAACTGAAAACAGTACTCTATGGATCGTACCCTTCTCCGTTGTTCATGATTACTTGGTCAAAAACAATGACATCGATCAGCGGAGTGTCTGGTAACGGAATTTGATAGCCAGGCGCTGAAGGCAACGACAGAGGGCGGTGTTGCTGTTATCAAGGTCGTCTCGCCAGGCTCACCCTTCTTACCAGGGGGCCAAGTTTCTCCGTCGTGGTCTTCTTTTTCCCCAGAGATGCAGAGGTCAGGATTTGGACCTGGGCAGCTGACTCCTGCTTCACGTTTCGGCCCTGACGGCCCAGACGGTCCAGGGACACCATTGTTCCCAGGAGCTCCAGTCAATCCGGGAACGCCTGGTGTTCGGGCGGGCCCGGGTAACAGCAACAGATATCCTCAGATGGAGACCTTAATAGGCTGTCACCCGGTTGTGCTCGGCAAAGCCCCGCGAGCACTAGCACGGTCAGCACTCTGTTGCCTTTGAAATGGTTAAAAATAAAAACTGTACCAGATCACACACTGGAACAGCAACAAAACAATTCCGAGTTTTGTAGATTAAATTATGGGGAGTGGCAATGCTAATATGCGATCCACTCATGAAAATTAGTCAGAAGTCGCCAGAGTCACTTCTGACGTTTTAGTTAATATTTGGAAGAGCAACCTGAGTTCCTTGTTTTGATTTATCACTCAGTTTGGGTGACAGGTGTTGAAAATGCGCAAGATTATTCAAAAGGCCTTTAAATTACTTACAAGTTTATCTTGATCTTTAAATATTCATACTAGTGTACATTTTTCCCAACTCTTCTCGTTCGTTTGAACGAAATTTGACATCCTTTTCAGTTACTTGTGAAAAGTGCACTTTTAACCATCGGAATTTGTCCATGCTTTTCGGGACAATTTTGATGTAAATCAAGGAAGACACTATTTATGTTCATTTTTTCTACTAAATTGTGAAACCAAAATTTACTCATTGGAAACATTTCTGAGGTGGGGTTGCTCATTACACAATTGCCGTGCTGAGCCGTCTGTGCAATTTATAAACCTTGATCAGAAACAACGCCCCAAACACCGTGGATCCAAGCAGTTTAATAATGTCATTAGTCGCCCTCGTGTTCGGCTGTTGGTTGTTCCTTTCTAGGCTTTCCCACATATTCCTGCTGTTTTTTTTCACCCCAACCGTTCTGAGTCTCGACGATATGTTTCACTAAGACTTGCTTTAATTAATAAACAGGAAACCAGTATCCAAAGAGGTCGGGTGTACTCACGCGGCTTTGTGTAACAACAATGAACTAGAAGTTATTCTTAGGAACTTTTGAAGTGGGTAAAGCTTTAAATACAACTTTCAGTTTCAAAAGAACATGTTGTTAGAAAGAGACCGTTTTGAAATTCGAGAATGAGATTTTTGATTATAAAAAAAAAGCCAACCAACCAACCAACCAACCAACCAACCAACCAACCAACCAACCAACCAACCAACCAACCAACCAACCAACCAACCAACCAACCAACCAACCAACCAACCAATTAATTTGCATCCATTCAAAACGTACCATAATGTTTGCAAGTTGCTACGATGGGACGCGTTGGTTTCGACCTCAAGATGTTTACCCCAATTTACCCCAAAGCAAGTTTAGAATTAGTGCAAGATCTAGTTAGTTTTGGGTAGCTTTTGTGTCAGCCTTTAGTGCAACAAGCGTCAAACGCATATCGACATTCCGCATATAATCTTCATTTATCATTGCCGTACATTTTTCCGTGTTCCCAAGTATTTTTCAGCCTACTTCTGGTGTATTATTGTGATCACATAGTTTTAGCCAGCTATATTTGTGATGAAGAAACAATGTATTTACGATGGGGGCACCTCAATGTCAACTCTATTTTTACCACACCTTTTAAAACAGCTGCAACAAGCTATCTTAAACCCTTGCCTGAATTTCTTGTATTTAAACTCATAGATTATTGGGTTTATGACGGAGTTTAAATTGAAGGCAAAAATACTAATTCCTCTAAAATAAATATAACTTGTTGATGAACCACAGAAAGCAAAAAGGGCGTTGTCTGATGGATACAGACAAATAAGACTGTTAATGTAACTTGGTGTCCATAGAATAATTTGAGCTCCTACGACAATTGTCAGCATGTTGACCAGACGCTGTCTAGCAATTACCAGATCGTAGGCTGCGGCCCTTGCATGCTGCAGGTTTAGGGCTTTGGCTTGTCTTTTGAGAGTGACTTGCATCTTCTGGTAGGCCAAACTCATCGACATTATGGGTATTAAAAAGGAAAGGAGAAACAAAACTACACCCACAGAAACCGGAAATGCCAAGTTAGGGTATTTGAATTCTAAACAAGCCTTGTCAGGATCCTTGCTGGATTCTCTTGAGAAGAGAAGAGGGGTAGAAAAAAGAAACGATGTCGTCCAAGACAGAGCAATCAGAAATGTCATCCTTGTAGCTGTGAGTTTCCTTTCATATTGTAATGGATGTACTATGGCGACATACCTTTCTAATGTTACCACACAGAGATTGTAAGCTGATGCGCAAGAGAAAGACCAGCCTATAAAACGAGATGCCAGGAGTCGACAGAAAAGTTCTTTTCCACTAGCACTTGCAGGAACAAAGCGAATTAATGCACAGTTTTCGTGTGCAAATAGGTGATAAAACACTACGTAGAGACAAAGCAGCATATCGGCCACTGCCAAATTCACCAGGAGGTAGTTGGCCCTATTGTGGAGGAATTTGACGCGTATAATCACGAAGCACACCGAGAGGTTTCCCACGATGCCAACGACTCCTTCCACTACCGTGAGCGGACAGATCCACTTACCCGGTGTTGAGCCCTCCCGCCCACTCTGTCCGTGCGTTGCATTCATTGCAGAAGTTTTCGTCGATGCTTTTCCCGAAAGAGGGACACAACTCTGACTTGATGTCTTAAAACCAGATTGCTAATCTTCGGATTACAGAACTGCTAGTTCTCACGGTATCATCCTCCTCTGCAATGAGATGATCCACCCCAAGAGGAATTGTACAGGTAGAAATTAAGTGTAAGTAGAAATTTACCTAGTTCTCAGCCGCTTTCCAGTCAACTTTCTACAGTTCGTAATACACAGCTCATGTCAAGATAACATATGATGCAGGTGTCCTTTGAAAATGTTGTATTAATGAAATCCTAAAAGTATTTCCAAATTGACACAGCTAGATTACAACGATCGACATCAAAGTTGCGTGATCGTCCCAGCTTGTCTCTTGGTTGGTGTCGAATTAGCCGAAGAATATTTTTCAGTAACTATAGGCAATGGTCAACTGCCATATGCTGGTTGTTCTCCTTTCATGCTCACTATGGGCAACTAACGCTCTGCACAGTGCCCCGAGCCGGATTAGCCTTCTTGACTTTAAATCCAATAGCGTAAAGGTGGTTTATATATGTCCATTGCGCCCTGAAAATGCGTTCACGGAACTGAAGATCCGGAAATAGAGCCTGACAACGGCCGTCTGGTTGGCGCTGAAGCGCCGTCCTTATAGTCGTATATTAACTGAGAGACCGATGGGCACGGCTCTTTTCATGGATGACTTACGTAAATGAATTGTGCAGAGTAAACATCATCTAATGAAAACGGAGTAGCTCAATGCATGGGTGTAAATCCCGGGGGATGAGACAAGTCCACTTTTTGACCAGTGAGGGATGGGTTGTTGAATATCACTTCCCATTTTTTGGTGGTAAGAACAAATTAAGGCAGTTTGTAAAGAATTTCTTTTCAGATTTCCCAACAACCAAAATGTATTGAATAGCACCATGGGCGCAAATGTCTCGAGGAGGGGGTGTCTTGCATCTAAACTCATTGATTGCATTTACGTAAAGACCCTGGCGACATTGAAATAAGAGGTGAACAAGCTGCGTATATCTGATATGTGGCCACACAATGAACTAGCACTTGGCGTTTTCGAAAATTGAGGTATTTTTAGTACTGTTTTTAACTTCAAAAGAAAAAGAAAGCTTTCCTATTGTATGAAGTACACAGAGTGACAGTAGGATGACATCATGGCACTATTCTGGAGGCTTTTTAGCTTTCTTTTCGATATTTTTTCAACGTTTCTGACCAGGCAAGAAAATGACATACCTGATCCTGCTAAAAATTTGAAATTAAATTGAAGTATTACTCTTTCGAAATGTTACCAAACTCTAAACTGGACCTCCCCTTCAATTTCAGACTTTGAATTGTTATAAGAAATAACCTAGTGCAACTTCACGCTCATTTTGTCGTCGAGGGTCACAAAATAGTTGATTTAGAGATGATTGCTTTCTTAATTGGTGCCAACATTTATTTTGCTGTCAGTTATCGTATCTTCGCTGAATTTGATACAAGTAACATGAGACAAGCGGTAATTACTGTTCGGTTATGGGACGATGAAAGGAACAATCTCATTAATTCGTGGCCTTGTTCCAGTCAAATCTCTCATTAATCAGCCGTGGTTGCAATCATAATACAAGAACAATGTTTTTTTTTTTTAATCACCTTCGGTTTACAGTTTGACAGAACCAACAAGCTATATTTTCAGTATTTTGACAATTAATGTAAAGCAGAGGAGATCGACGTAACTTTACAAATAAGGTTATACGGAAAGAAAGACAAGACGACTTGGTTACTTCTGTACATTCAGTACACAGTAAGCACAGAAACGTGCTAACGGAGCACCATTGCCTTTTTTTCCCCTGCAAAACGGACAAAATGGCTTTCCGTGCTCACTTTTTTTCAAACGAATTAAGCCACTCTTGGCATTTATAGTCCTGTTGAAACTTTTGTTGTGTATTGCGTGTATTGCTTGCAAATTTAGGGCTAAAAGGTCACAGAGTGGTCAGCAGTGGCTGAAAATAACAAGAAATAGCTGTTGTTAGCCTTGGAGTCCGAGCGAGCATGCATAGATAATAACAAGATGTACACTCTTTAGTGCTGCTTATAAGACCGACTGGTGCATGGCTGAGCAGTTAGGTTGATGTATGCCCTGCGATGTCGTGGTTCTGTACTCCTCCTCAATATTTTTCTCTGTCTCAAAACAGAGAAATAAATTTCAGGAATTAGTCTATAATATGGGGAAAAAGAATTTCAGACAATGACCCAAGTGAACATTACCAAGACTGCTCAACAATGCACAAGTTCATCTTAGTGAGCAGCACTAAACAGTAGACACCTTTGTCGTTATTGTGAATGGGTGTTCACTGCATTTCCAAGACTCACAGCAGTCACTTGTCATAATCTTCAGTAGGACTGCCAATATCTGAGGCAGTCGGTGAAATTCAAATTCCATTTATTATGAAGTTTAGATTCTCTTACAAACCTCTTACATGTAAGTTTGAAACCTGCCAAATTTAATTAACAGGAAGTAAGAAATAGATATAAGGCTGGATCACTGATGACATACGCATCTTCTCTATGAGCATCATCTTCATGAGCAATGATTCTTAGGCGTGGTGCTTCATTAGGATGGGAAGTTTGATCATATGAAATCTGACATATAGTACACAAACAGGAGAGACAAAACAAATGTACTTATTTCCCAGAGCGCAATGATGATGGTTGATTCATGCAAACTTGCTACATGTTGCGTACCTATAACACTATTTGTACAACCAATGCTCAATTTCATGGACAAAGAGATCAATGGATTTTTGATCCATCCCTACAGGTGTTGATACTGAAGACACCTGTAATGTGTGTTTTTATTGGTGTTTTACACACCATTTGCCTGAAAGAATTCAAAGCGAAACAATGTTTGGATGTTTTGAAAAAGAACCAGCACCATTCATGTACATGACCTCAAGGTCACCTCGTGTTGTAGTGCCTGTATTTCCAATTTTTCTTTGCTCTATATAAATCTTTACAATAGACACCATCAAGAATAACACTAGCTGAGCAATAAGATGACTTATTATCATTTCAGCCAATATTTATCATTTGGGGAAATCATACGTCTCACTTTCATTCAATTTCCTGGCCTTGCGTGGCAAACATAAGATGAGCAATTTCGGCTCTAGCAAATTCTCATATTTTTGGGTCTCGAACTTGATTCGGTCAAACAGAAGATTTGTGTACCACAAGACAAGGTCAAACCCCTTTGTTCGCAGACTCAGGTTGTGTTATAGCCAGTTCATTAGTTCAGATTCAATCATTGATTGGTTCACTGAATTTTGTACAAGGCAATTCCTCCTGGGCAGGTTTTTTTGCACTGCCTCATTGCCCTTGGGGTAGCAGAGGCTATTTTTATGAGCTTGTTTTTCTGTCATTCCCCTAAAATTATTATATTTTCACATTTAAACGTGCGCTTTAGTGTGTTTTGTTTTTCTGCAGATACTGACTGGATGTGCGACTGCCTGGCTGACTGGATGTTCGATTACCCGATGAACAAAGTTGAGTAGTTTATCCTTGTTGTTCCAGGTAGCCGGAGTCGCTCTTGCTACCCTCAGGAGGTGATCGGCCCTGCCCTTGCGAGATCACTTTCGTCCTGTTATCTGTTTTTTACGTTCTGTGACTCGTTTATGTAAATGTTTTTTGTGTCATTCCCCTAAAATTGTAGTTTTTTCAAGTTTAAACTTGCGCTGTAGTGTTTTTGCTTTTCTGCAGATTCTGACTGGATGTGCGTCTGCCTGGCTGACTGGAGATGAGAATGCCAGACTTACTGGGTGTTTGACTGCCAGACTGATTGGATTTGAGACTGCCAGACTGACTGGATGTTTGACTGCCAGACTGATTGCATATCGGAGTAATTTGCTGATATCACAGCTTGTACTGTACTGGATGTGTTGCTGGTTGGCTGATTGTAGCTGAATGTGTGACTGCCTGGCTGTCTGCATATTCGGCTAATGTGCTGATTACAGCTTGTACTGTTTCCTTTAGGCCGAACGTGCAACTCTATTTTGTCCAAAATATTATTGAATGGACTCCACGCTTAACTGTCAGGCTCATACCCTCTGGAATATTTCATGTTTGGCTGATGGGGTGCAGAGCTTCCTGAATGGAGTTTTGACTAAGCAGATGAAGAAGCGAGACATAAGTTTACGCAACGTCCTCTTTTATTTGTAACTGTGAAATGTTGTCCAGTGTGCCTGTGTTCCGTGGTTTGTGCTTCCCTATCGCACCCCTGTCCGGATAGAGGCACCGCTTAACCCCTCTTCAGGTACACATGCATTCCATCCAAACTGCTCCTGGAATAAGTGCCATCATCTGCCGCTCCCAGCAACTTGTATGTCATCGTGCTCGGAAGCCCCATCCGCAGTACCCAACCGTGGCTTGATCAAAGGCTGAATTCACCTTGCAAGACCCGCACACACCACCTCACACAGAGGAGTTGTGTACAGCAGCCGTGACATGAGCCTCAGGCTGCTGCTGACATCCCACGGTTTAGATACGCAGTAATGAGATGTGCTTCTTGTACACTGTGTTATTTTACATATTATTCTGAATCATTCAATTCAGTTTTTACTAAAAGGCGTGTTTTATTGCAGAATCATTAAATTTACGGCAGCATGTTCATCAAAAGCCCCAGAATTATGAAAGACATTTGCCCCGAAATCCAAAATTCCCACTAGCAAACATTCCTGGCTTTCAAAAGTTAATTTCTTCCATGTAGGCCTAATAGTAATAATATGCATTATTATGTTATCTATTGTTCTAATTCATTGCACCAATTTACATTGCTCGTATTTGCATTGGTTCCTATTCATAATTCATGATCATGCACACATGACTGTTTTGGAAATCGTTTCTACATTGATGACAGCTGTAGTCAGTAACAGCAGCTTAGAAAAATGTTTATGACAAAACATGCAAGGGATATCCCATGTATTTTTAACATTGACTATTTTGCCATAGACTGCCATTGACTAAATTCACCATGTCCCTCATGCAGCTTCATACTGTATAACAACATAATAACCCTGTCAGACACATTACTAGGTAATTGCTATATGTATGTACTTAGGCGGAAGACATCCAACAGCAGAGATTCTTCAGAGAAAATGCACTTCTATTTTTACTCTGAACATTTTGGAATATGACATTAAAATAAGGAATCATAGAAGCATTTATTTTTAACTACATGTAAGTAAGAATCCAGGTATATGCTAGAACAGAATTCTTTTATCCTAATGACTTTTAGTGAAACAGCTTGTATGCAGTTATTTGAACTATAAAAAGTGGTGGTGTATATTTCAGTTTCAGTTTTTGTAGAAATTTTAATTCATTTTGAATTAGTTTAAACCCTTTTGAATATTATAATTTTGCTTTGATTCTGTTATGGTCGATCATAGTTGCGAGTTGCATAATACAGATTTTTAAATGGTTTGTTTAGCAGATTTGCTTTGACATTTTACCACAAGTACTAAGACAATACAGTATATAGCTGCTCAATAAGTGCAGTATTTTTTTCTTGTGATAATTGTTATTCTTAAAGTACTGTAGATGCAGGATAACCGTAGACCTCGGTAGCCAACCGATGACACCACTTGGTTTACAAGTGTGCTTTTCTATGGTGTTCGGTGGACGTGGGCCCCTACTGGCTCCATAGGAAAGTGTACATGTAAACAGTGTGATATGTCATCAGTACATCTAGACCTATTGTTTACCTCACTTCACTTGAAGTTTGTAGGCAATCTAATATTTTTATTTCAGCTGGCTCAAATGATTTAAGCCCTTCGCAGCTTTCTTTAAAACCTACCTTCTCATCAATTCATTTCATGAAGTGACAACCTTGATCTCGCAGATCTTTGAAAACCGGAGAATGTAATTAAGACTTACGCGGCCTATATTGTAGTCTTCATTAAGCCACCTACTTCAAATCTGTATGCATAGTTAATGTTGGAAAGAGACCCTACCCTTAGAACTTGAGCTCCAGGGAAGCCTCATTGAAGTGTGTACAAATTTAATTCCTTTCTGGCGTTTCTTGCAGCTAATTCTGCTATGGTTGTCAATAAATTGTTTGTAATGATTAGTGATAAGTCACGATGTAGGTTGCCAAAGTGCTTCATTATGTCTTATGTGTGCCCAGGAAACTCGATTCAACCTATTGGACAAGCAAGTTGTCCATAAAACAAATTTATATTCGAGTATAAATGAAATGGACTGTTCAGCACAACTGTCCGTAGGAAAAATCGCAAGATTTGTAAGGGTTGGCAGCTCGCATGGCCTTAATAAAGAAAAAAAACTCTACTTCCGGCCACTGCAATCCAGTGGCCAACCACAAGGTTAAATTTACGCTGACTGCCGAAAATGTCTTGTTTAAAGCAAAAGGCAAACGTTAACTGTCAGCGGTGTTTTGGGGGAGGCAAGTTTTTGTAAGCCTTGTTTAATATCTATTCCTCCGTTTTTTGTCAGTGGTGGTGGTGGGGGGGGGAACTAGGAATTTCATTGCCCCCCTCTCCCGTGGCTACGCTACTGAGGAGGCCTGACCCTCTTCCTCTCAGCGTCACCCGGGTGTAGCACGCGCTATGGGCGAATCCTTTAAGTGCCACCAGAAATCGCCAGGCAACATGTCCGTGTGTAGTGGCGAGTAAAGGGTTCAGTCTACAATGACTTTACTCATTTAAGCGAGAATTTCAGGCTGGCCAGCTCATTAGCATATAAAGTGCCTCCACAGTACAAAAGGAGATTGTTTGGCCCCCAACATGATGAGATTGCGTACATCTTTTCCAGGATCAACTCCCTGGGCCTCTGAACTTTCATCTAAGAGCAAAATGGGAAAAATTTAGAAAAATGGTCTTAAGTGCCCGAGAAAATTGATATGAGGGTTGCCCCTTGAAAAATGGCCGCAAGCAGACTCCACAAAAATCACTTTAAGGGGGTGATTTTGTTTTGTGAGAATAACTAAAATGTTGTTGGTTAACCCACAGAAAATTGAAAAGAAATTGAAAGAATAGGGACAATAATTTAATTTGTGTTTCAGAAACCTCAGAGATTATGTGGTACGCATGTTATTGGGCCCTGAACAATGCCGATTTCATACTGTTTTCAATGGGGCTTAAATTAGCACACCCACTACACGTACCCCCAGCAGCAGCTGGTTTCGAGCGCCCTCTGTTGAATTGCAATTCTCAGACAGGAAAGATGGCGGAGGAAAACATGGGCGAGCTGTTGTTCTGTGACACTTTCAGCCACGAAAATAAAGAGGTGAGTCACGCAGTCATGCCACTAAAGGATTGATAGATTTAAAGATTGTAGAGAAACAGGTAAAAACAAGATTTCCATAAGTTTGACACAGAATCCATAGCATTTGTTGGCATAATTTACAGTCCTGAGTTGGACCAGCTCTGTTTAGCCTAGCAAGGCCTACATCATGTACAGTAATCTAGCCCAGGTTGGACGTTGTCTTCATTTCATTACGACTGACATCCAGGGTATAAAAGTTGTGTACAAAACGACCACAAATTGGTTCTAATTTGTTCTTGGTTTACCTTGTTGAAGAAACAAATTTTTCACGTTTACAAATTCTTCGTGGCCTTATCTATCCGTCTGGGGGGTTAAGGAATTCCAGAAGGACATGAAGGAACCATGGACTGCAAAATCAAGGAAATTAAATGGGACAACGCTTCTTTTATAGACGTAATTCATCCATTCTTGAGTTGTAAAGTGCACGCACGTACAGGAATCCGAGCTGCGTGTACGCACTACGCGTGAGCGGTTTCCAGTTAAGGTCTGTTGCATGCCTGCTACACTGAGGCCGTGACTGGTACCCGGCTTTAACTCGCGTGCCAGCGAGACGATATAGAAATGCAGTTCCGGTTTCGTCGGATCGGGGGCTTCAGACTGACCAATTAATCCACAATTGGTTACCCCTGAAATGTGCAGATTTTCTTAAGCTTTATATTTCGGTTTATAAACATAAATTTGTGACACAACCTGCTATTTTATGAGAATAACCCCCAGTTAGAGTAGAAGGCTTTGTATACATGTATGCAGGGTTCTTGTACGGGAATAAGTTCATCACTGATCTCTCTGAAGTGTTGAATATGTTTAATTTGTTCGTAGAATTGTTATTGGTTAACTGGTTAAAGATGTATAAATACACAAATGGGAGATATCCGATTTTCATTAAAGTGTAACGACCACCATCTCTGGAATGGACTGGTTCTTTTGTGCCTTTCTTATCCATTGAGAACAGTGTATTGTTGCAAGGCGTCTCATATGTAACTAAGCAAAATCTTGCCCCCAATCACGAGGTATAGCAACAGTGGCTTTAGTGAGGAGAATTCAAGTTGCTATGTTCATGTGAATTTAAAGAACTCAGTGTACCAGATTTGGGTCAAAGTTAACTCGCAAAAGGCTTATTCTTTCAGCCAGTGCTGCACTTGTTAACCAGTGGTGTTGTACAGCATGAATCCTGTAAAACATTGAGCAAAGCCCACTTTTGTGCACAGCAAACTGAGTTCTTACAAGCCAGTATTTTTTTTAAGTGTTTTTCCTTGTTGTTTTGCACCTGAAAAACAAAGTGATTTCAATCTGAAGCCTAGTACAGGGCTCATGTCACAACAAATGCATTCTTGCCTTCGGTGCGACATTACATCGACCCGAGTAACATGCAACATTGTGGCACGGGAAAGCGGGCAAAATACGTGTACCTTCATGTTGCACGTTGCTATCCGCTCCAAGCGGAACAAAAAAGGGTGGGTTTTTTTGGTACTTACCGCAGAGAAGCGCGTTTGTAATAGAGATCAATGGCGCGTTTGACGCGGAGCACGCTGTGTATGCGTAACAAATTTATTCCAGAATGTATGGTCTTTGTGCACTCGCAGAGTACGTTTAAGAACCCGCTTGGAAAATTTACGACCATCCGTCTTTATTTTGCCGCTTGGGGGTGTACTTCATGCTCGGGGCAGATACAGATGTGCATCAGAGTTCCCAGATGTAATGTATGGCTGCAAGCATTGATGCCATTATCTTAAAAACAACAGGTGGATGATTCCAGCCTATGGCGCTAGAGTTGGGCTTGTCAGTCAGTACTTACCGTGTGTTTGATGTTGGGATCATGGCCGTAGTTGGGATTGATTATGTGTCAAGCATTGCCAGACCTGATAAAGGTCTGGTGACTTGACCATGGAGGGATAGTGTCAAACAAAGTCTTGGTACCACATGTTACTTTTGACAGAATGCTTAAGAACAGTAAATATTTGATGGCTTGTATGCACGACAGCAGTCCATTCACTTGTGTTGCTTGTTTTCACGTTTTGAAGTTTTTGACTCCCATCTGTGTACATACTATTTTCTTGCATCCACATTTTTGACTTTTTGAAACTGAAATCCCAAGACGGTAACAATTTCAACCAGAGGCCACAGATCTAAATCCCCCTGTTGTTTTTGTTCAATCAGACATTGGACGCAAGTGCACTGTAACATGAAGAAGATGGTCCAGCGATAGTTTTGACATTTTGATGTCAGACACCTTTTGATGTCAGCAGAACGTCTCTCGTTGCAGTGTGAAATCCCTCAGGCAAACTTTTTACAGTTGTTTGTTTGTATCTTGACCTTCAACCCTTAGGACTTGAACCTTGACCTGGTGCAGTTCCCATGGCCGGTATGCATCAGTGAGGTTAGGGTCATACCCAGGGCAATGGTAGCCCACCCGGAGCTGCAGGATCAGGGCAGACTGGGGTAAGTTCAATATCACCCAGCTGTAAGAGGAGATTCTGCACCCAATATTTATCAGACCATGTGAGAACAAGAGCACTTTTATTTAGGATTGGTAGTACTTGAGTATGAACATCAATATAATCCCTTGCTGGGCAGTGGCGGAGCTAGGATTTTACTGGTGGGTGGCACAAAGGGGCACCAGCTTCTTATGGGGGGGGCACCAGTTGGCCATAATACTGCAATGGTTATTTCATGCGGGCAACCCAGTATTTCCCTTTAAAATCACACCGTTTTATCAGTGAACATGTACCATTTATTTACGATGTTATTTCTTGATGTGCACTCTTGCCTCTGCAGTCATTAATATCCAGATACTTTTCTCTCCTACTATAAGGGAGACCAGCCCATCTACATTCAAACTGGAGCTGTTTATCAATAACCTGAACAAGCCAGGCTCTGCCGTCTTTGAACAGCTGGGGGTCTTGGATTACGTAGATAACTCCAAGATACAGCTCATCCCCAGCTCCACGGTAGTGTGCCTGCTTCAGAGATTTTTGGATTTGCCTGCACTAGTAGTTAGATTGGGATAATAATTTATGTAATTTGATACAGTTGCAAACCAATTACTGAAATACCTGTAGTTATGTTGACCTGCCGGTTAATCCTTTGAAGAGTTACTTAGTATTTGCTATACACACAAGCCTCCTTCAAAATTAGGAGGACAAACCTAGCTTGCCAGCATTTGTTAAAATGAAAGATAAAATTTTCAAGAGCTACACGTAAACATGCTCTTTGTTACTTTGTTCTTTTGAAGAAACGGATCAATTTAAAAGCCTGATTCCCATATGCAACACCACTTTTCATGCTAAAAGTAACTCTGTCACCCTTTGTTGTTGCGTTAATGCTGAGAATGTTGAAATAACACAAGGCCGGGCCGTATGTTTCATTTATTTTTGTGCCGAATTGGAGCCCCTGTATTGATCAGCACTTGACATCATGCTACCACACTTCATATATATTCATGATGGAGAGATGGACTCTCATTGGTTCATCATCACATGCCACTTGCTATTCCGCTGTTTACCAGGTGCTTGCAAGAGAGGATCCATGCTCGAGTCAAATGCATGCTAGCACTGAACTTTTCCCCAGAAACAGTTCTTGGAACTGTCGCACCGATGAAGTACCCAGGCATGAGCACTGTCGTAGCTATGTTACATGCGCACTACACATGAACAGGTAGCAGCGCACAATCATGCTACTTTAACCCTTGCTTCTGAAATTTTAATGGCAACAGAATATATCTGAGCTATGGTAAAACAAATCCAACATGGTTAATTTGGGTTGGCTCATCTAGCTATCTGAGGTATTAGATATTGACAGACTAGTTCCTGAGGCTTCGTTTGCAACCTTGTAATACCTCAGGGAGCTAAACTTGACTATCTGTAAATACAAACCATGTCTGTGTACTACAGTCTATTAGGTGTCTCTTCTGGGAGTTGGTGCTTGGGCCATTGGATCGCCTTTTCCAGAAAACGATGGGTGCGATATTAAGAAACATCTCGCTCTTTTGCAATTGCCTCATTGCTTGCTATTCACCTAGGCCCCCACTGATGGAGTGGTTCTTCGAGGCTGGTACCACAAAGTGACAGTGGCCATCTACGGCATCCTGGCATCTCACAAGAAGAGGGCGGAGGAGAGAGCCGTCTCGCCCCCTCCGCCTCCCCCTCCTCCCAAGCAGAGCATCCACGGGTCCAAGCGGGCTGGTAAGATGAATCCTTCTGTTGTCTTGCTGGCTTCCCATCCCGACCTTTAACGTTCCTGAAACCTTTGAAGTCTTCGAAGGGATTTTTTGGAAGATAAAATAAACTCATTTCTTAAACAAGTCGCCTTGAAACTCCTTGTCGCTCCAACTCCAATTTGTCTTAGAAATTTAGAAATTGATTAAGTCATGGAATTGTGACACTAAAGTTTACTTTCTATCTGATTACAGCGGATGACACCACTGAGTTTTTGGCCCACGAGTTGACACAGAAGCAGCCAATTCTCCCGCAACAGCATCACAAGTGGGAATGGGAACAACAGGAACGTGAGCAGTCTGCGCCACCCAAGAGAGCCCGTTATGCCGAGCCGGCTGCGGAGACGGAGCGTCACCAACCCCCACCCGCTTCCCACGCCATTCCCAGCACCGCCAGCCGGAGGGGGCCCAGGACCCCCTCCCCTCCTCCCCCTGCCCAGGAGCAGTGGGAACCCTCCCAGCCCCATCCCTCGGAGCCCTGGTCCTCGGGGGATGCGGCCAAGGAGTCTTGGAAGACCCAAGATACCTGGGAAGCCGGGGAGCCAGAGGAGCAAGGTGGACAGGGCCGCGAGTGGGAGACCAACGACACCTGGGAGACTACGGACACTTGGGAGCCGGGAGATGCCACCGAGTGGGAGGAGCAAACGACTCCTACCGAGCCACCTTCTCAAAAGCCATCGTACACGGATCCATGGCATGACGACCACACCCGATTGCCCGCTACCTCCGGTGGCGGCAGCAGTGGGAGGAGCCAGAAGAAGCACCGCAAACACAGGGGGCCCAGGACTCCACCAGGAGAGCCCCAAGGCTCCCCGTCCCCACCTGACTATGCCCAGCCGGGCGAGCAGTACCAGGAGTCCAGGCGGCACAGGGAGAGCTCCAGGCGGAGGGGAGGAGACAGCCCCCGCCGGGAGGCGAGGCGAGACAAGGAGTCCAGGAGAGAGGTGGACGCCAGGAGGGACGAGGGCAGACGGGACTCAGAGGAGCCGCCCGTCACCGCCGAACCAGGAGAGATAGTGCAAGAGACTGCTGAAGTAGAAGAACTCTTTGAGCCACTTACACCAGAAACATCTCCCAGCCACCAGTTCTCTGATCGAGAGACCATGGAAGGTAACAGAAAGTATTCATACAATGCCTGAGTACACCCCTGTTGCGTGACTAGCGTGTTGTTGATCATGTGTCAGTGTACCTCCCAATGTATTGCGAGGCCACATTGCAAAAACTGAAGTCCCATTCCACCAGTAAATGGAAGTTCCATTGCTCAGTCACAAGACATTTCTAAACTCACATATGCTGTAAAAGCGTTTATTCTCGAGGGAGTTTTTTCAGAACTTGTTCAAACATTGTATGAAACAAACAATGAATGTTTAAAATTCGTGCAGTGGAATGAATAATAGTATATAGTGGGGTCATTCCATGAGGTTGGGGCTCAATTTGTGATGATGTCAATTGTTACATGGGTGCCATAAAAACGAACAGCTATTTCCCTGCATGTGGATTCCAAATTGGCATTGTTAAACATCTTGCAAAGCTGAATGCAAAGGTGTGTGTTATTTTCATAGAGTAAATGACCTACTCTACAGGTCATGACAGACGGTAAAAGTTACCTGTGTAACAAGGACACTGTAAAAATTGTGCCCCAACCTTATGGAATGACCCAGTGGCAGAAGGAATGTTCCATTCAACTCATGGAATGTAAACATTCCATCTTCCTGTCACTTCGTGGAATTATGCTAACCATGGCACTCCTAAATTTTTATCATTTGATAATTATACAATATCAAATGTAAAAACACAACATATTGGGACCAAAGGTGGCCCAGTTTAAGCTGTGATGTTGGTTGGTTGGTTGGCTTCAGATGATCGGAGCCGAGAACCCACAGAGGATACGGAAATGGAGAGCATCGGCCAACCCTACGAAGAGATTAGCGATGAGGAAGGGATGGACGAAGTAGGAAGTCTGGATGGCTTGATGGACACGGTAAAAACATCTTGTCTTAACAGGGTGACATTGACATGCAGTAACTGCCCATTTGCAAGTTCTCCTTTGCCACTTCCAAATTCACCCAAAATTAGTTATCCCAAAATATCACCATTTAGAAAAGGAATGGGAAGGATTTTTTTTTTGGGGGGGGGGAAACTCGTCTCTGCCAGATTACAGCAGTCTTGGACCTGGTTGTAGTTTTTACTTTTGGTCTGTCATTGACTGCAGGAGGGCCTCGAAGTGGATGGTCTGGAGGGAGAATCATGGCCGGACATTGTGACCTTTGACCCCTTCCAAGTGGAGCTTGTGCCGCTCACTGTAAGTTGATGTTAGGGATGGAGGACTTTAAGAATTTTATTGATGTCTCCATGGGGAGACATATTTTTATTATAAAAGGAGTACTTTGATATCAGTTCATGAATGCGGTTAGCAGTTTGTACACATGTAATTCTTCTGTAGACTAACATGCGCAAGGCTCATGGAACTCAATCCTCCTTCGGTGTTGGTGCTGTTTTTTATTTTCACTTTGGCTTGTACCAAGTCTAGCGTATTCATTGGATCAAATGTATGAGTTAAATTTTCCTGTGAAAAATAGTTCCAGTGAAATTGCTCAAATGAAACAATCCCGATCTGTAAATTTAAGTTGTGTTTTACTTTCAAAACTCTAAATCACTGTTATGCAAAAAAGTAGGCGCATGAACTGTTTACTGGGTGAGAAAGGTGTAGCCCATGAGTTGACCTTTACACCAAGTACCTTGGCATTCTGGCTGCCTGACACTTCAGTTTGCTTTCTTGTGAAAGTTGCTCATCTTGCACAGTACAAGAAAATCAGACACATCATCTATTTCCAAGACCAAATGGTGTCAAACTCTGAGGTTGCAATTTGCTGCATCTGTGGCTGCTTTCACAAAACTCGTTGTGTCTTGTGGCTCACCTTAAGACGAGTCTCTGCTCCAGGTCTCTGCTCTTGGATCAATCTTGGCTAAGACGCATCCCAAGATTGATTTCACCAAACCCATCTAAAGTCAGATGCATCAGAATTACCCATTCGATGGCTGTTTCATGTTTGTTTTTAATGTTTGATAAAAAAAATTTGTTGGAGAGAATTGTGCAAAGCGAAACTTTCACCAGAAAATTACTCTAATAAATTCCAAACGCAGATATGTAGTTTGATGCAAGATATGATATAGTCATTTATGCTTTCCATCATTTTCATCATTCCGTCTTAAAGTTGACGAGAAGATGTCAAATCTGTTTCTACAGCAGTGTTCTTCATTAAACCTAATACATATATGTGATCTAGGACAACATTCGCTTTTATAGTGACAGTGATTTCTATATGTATAGAAATATATAGAAATATTTCTATATGTATTCAATATTAAGTTAAAACAAATTGAACAGCATTGCTAAGGAAGTTAGGAGGTGTTGAAGGAAACTTAAGTTTGGTGAAATCAATTCTAGGACAGGCTGCAAGTTATAAAGATGAGTTACCCTTCCTAAGACATGTCTAAGAGTTTCTTGAAAGCGGGCCGTGGGCACGTTAAGTTGAGGGAAGTGCTCCAAGAGTAAGGCTTAAAAAGGTCAGCTGCCGTCACTAGCCCCTGACCTGTGTGTTGTTGTTGCCTACCACCACACCGTATTAAGCTGCTCCTCTTTATACAAATTGTAAGATGTATATTTGGCGTCCAGGAAGTATAAGTTTCCATTGGTTTGTTTTGTTTGTCACCAATGTACATATTTATGAGCACTGTATACTCTGTGCTGACTGTGAGTTTGTAAACAAATTGCCACTGACGATGCCTCTTGATTTCTCGCTCTTTTTCTTTGTAGACCTACCCCGCTCCCTATCCTGTTCCCCAGGACCAGGTCACACCAGCCAAGCACGATGCCTCCATGGAGGATTCCAAAGCTCTGCTGGACGCACTGAAGGAACATAAGGACAAGGAATATGGACCCAGGTATGAACAACCAAGAAGACCATTCTCTAGTCAGAGATAGCCTTGTAATCCAGTTGTTTGGGAATCTGGTGGTGAAACCGATGAGTCAGGCTGACGCGGTGATTATTTTCTGTACCCTCCATCTCTGGGATCCCGGGCTCAAATCCCACCCAGGCTATAGCATGGATTTGGTTTTCAGTCCCTACCTGATTGCTGTGGTTTTCCCCCTGAATACTTGTGCGGGGTTTTCCGCCCAACTCGTTACTTTCTCTAGTGCACCGACGGAGAGCAGCGTACATGTAACTTAAAAGAACTCCGTGGCTGAAGGAAATCTGTTGCAATGAAAAAGCTTACGTGCACGAGTAAGAACGCAGGAAATGACGCAGTGAACTTGAGATTTCAGTCAAAGTGCATCAGTGTCAAAACCACAGAGGGGCCAGTAATGTCAGCGCTATTTCCCCATTATTTGATATGATTGCTTTTAATATTACTTGAACACCCAGCAGCTGTTTGCATATGGATCACGTTGCTGGGCTGTTTCTGCTTTGAATCCATAGCAGTGCTGTACGGAGAAAAATAAAATGAGGAGCCAAAATGAGGAGCCACTGGCTCCAGGACAGACAGGCTTTGGATTTTGTGCTTGTGGAATAAATAAAAAATGGCAACCAATTATGTGAAGGAAAAAAAAAAGGTGAAAGAAAATACAAGGCATGTTTGTTCTTTTACATTTGAGTATTTCATACCTGGGACCAGACCTGACCCAAGGAAACTTGAAACCTTCTGGTTTCAAACATACATTTGGGACAGAAGCAAATTCATTGCACCGGAATTGTGGCGTGCATAGACTGCTACTGCATCTAATCAATATGCGAGATCTATCAGTTCCCCACACTCACTCTATTCAGCGTGCGACCACAAACCAGTCGACTCGGGTACCTGTATGTGCCTGTATATACCTACATGTAGGCTACGTTGCAGGGAAAGTGGGCTCATGCTGTGTACATACATGTAGTGTTAAAGACGGATAAAAAAAAATGCTTGATCATAGAGACATCGCTCTGTGCACGTCACAGAAAAATGGGCAGCGACTGTTCATGAAATACGACTGACAAGGTGGGCGACAAACGGACACAAATCACGGTTGCCATTGGCGATAAGAATTAAACATGTGGTTGTATGTCATCATTTTTTAGGCGCGAATGTGACTGTTTTGGTCACACCGTACGGTGCTGATCCATAGCGCTGTTTTTGATCCTCTTTTGTTTGTTCATAGTTAAAAACGGACCAAGGAAAAGTGCCTGTGCAATTCCGACCGAAAGGGGAGACTAATTTTTATTTCAACTCCTCTCTCAAAATACCTGCGTGAGAATATCGTAAGGATGCTCAAACTCCTTTCTCTTGTAGATGGGTGGCAGCCCTGGAGCCTTTACCAGCCCTTCTCCCCCAGGCCCTGACCGGTCTGGATGACCGCTCTCTGCTCACCTTGGCCCAGTGGTCAGTGGAGGCCCTCAGCCAGGACAGGGCCAGGGGTCAGCCCATTGGGGTCAACATGAGGCAGCTGAAGGCCGGTATGCGGCTGTCATCGGCACTGTGCGACTGCGGCCAGCGTGTGGCCGTGAAGCTCTTGGTGAGCATCTGTTTACGTGTGGGCTCGGTCTGGCTGTCCACATGTTCTGGGACAGCTGAGGGATTGTGGCATGCCGTGAGTCACTGCTTGGAGGCATTCATGTACACATGCGAATCTCCCATGTGTTTTTGCGCGCCTGCACAGAAGTTTCAGAAGTCTGTGGGGACAGACTGTGTAATTAAAGTTGATCGAGACCATGGTACATAGCCCATTATTGCAGCATATATGGCTGAAAGGCAGTACCCCAGAGTGTTGCTAAATGTGAGGTTTGGGTGGGGGATATATTTTTTTTTAAATCAGAAGTTTCAGTCAAAATGATATCCTCTGCAGTGTCTGAAGAGTTACGTTTTTCATTTTGTTGCATTGCAAATATGCTGTTGAAGGTGTGATTACAAGTATTGTTGAATAGCCTTATCCTTGAAGGCAGTGTGCAGTCAACTGATTCTGGGCAATGTCCAAGAAGGAAATGATTGGCAGACTTTCAGAAATTATTTTGAAGAATTTCCCCGAATTCCTGCATACGTATAGTCTCTGTTCCATCAAAGAGTCTTTTTTTTATGGTTATTCTGTGAAGTAGCTCATGGAAATTGTCTGATGTGATTTAACGCTGTTGATACACGTAGGTTCCATTTATGGCTTTGTTTGAATCACAAAAAGCATTTTTGTTCACAAATGGTGTCTTGAGAATGGTGTTACGAACGCGTTTTGAGAACAGCTCGTGAATAGTTTCCTCATATGAGATGTATGTTATTTCTGTTTTATGTAGGAGCTTGGAGTCTTAGATGCATTGATGAGTCTGCTCTTTGGTGATCATGTGGCGTCCTCCTTGAAACTCATGGCTCTCAAAGGTATTGGAGATTGGAAGGATAGGCTGATCATGTTAAAAGTTCAGTGCACTCAAAGGAGAGAACCTTGCCATCAGAGTATTACTACACAATGACTTCCAAAATCTTTCACTTTGGGGATGAATTATGTTTATATGTGCGTCTTTATTTGTCATTTGGGCCAGATTAATACAATGGCATTGGACAAGGCAATATTTTCAATCAGCATAAGGCAAAACTGTACTGAAAATGTGCTAATCTTTGTTAGTTTCGCGTGCTCTTAACTGAATGGTTAAGTGTATACACTTAGTGAAATAGTGTTGTACCTATTCACTCTGTTCATGACACAGGTGGATGTATTTTCTCTGCATGCAGTTTGCCCTGTGGCTTAAATATTTGTTTGACAGACAGGTTTGCAATAGCCACTCATGTTGTTCATAGTTTCTGCCCAGAGCCTGTATTTAGACAGTTGCTATTGCACAAAAGCAGCATAGAAAATCCTTGCAGATTGACCCTGAACGAAGTATTTCAAAGAGAGCGTTAATATGCTTGCATGTGCAGCCTTGGACAGTGCCACCAACTGGCGGGAGGGCATCCAGCGTTTCCTTGGACCTTGTCCCCCAGTGGATGGGTTAGGCAACGCCCCCAGGACCTACTACCAGCGCCTGGTCAAGCTCCTGCTGTCGGAGCAGACAGTCCGGGTCGTCACGGCAACCACTGCCCTCTTGAAGAAGATTCATGTCTACGAGGTGCTGACGACACTCCGGGACACTGTCGATAGGTGAGGTGTACACGACCGGCATAGAGCACTCAGGTGTAGATCAGCTGATGTGTCCTACTAGTCTCTGTTTATATGCACAGTGATCTGATGAGATGGAGGGAGGGCGCTGTTCACTTTGTCCTCATGTTTGTTCTTATATTGCATACTGGGGATACATGTGAAGACATTTTTCTGCAGTTGCCAGTCAGTCCTCGGTTGGCAGTTGAAAACGAGGAGCTGTTGATAATACTGAATGTACTAAAAAAGTAATGCCTAAACCAGAAAAAATAAACAAAGGAACAGAATCAAGGAATTAAGTGAAGAAGTGAAAAAAAAAAATCAGTATTTGAAATGCCCGATCTCTCTGCACCAACAGCATCTTGGACTCGGACGCTGAACCCTCCTCGTCCCCGGCAGTGTCCCTCAAACAGTCCTCCAAGTTTGACTCGGGGGATCTCGACACCCCCCAGCAGCACTCCTCGGGCCCCGGCACGCCCCTTGAGGGGGAGGTCCTAGGGGACTGCGGGGGCGTGAGCAATACTGACATTGAGACCATCCTGGACTGCCTGCAGGAACTCTGCACAACACTCAGGACAGCCTCCTATTCTATCGTAAGTTTCCCCACTGATTGCCGCAATTTTTTGGGCTGGTTTCTAAACTGCCTCTAAATCAAAGCATTTATTTGTGTATTTGTCATATTTTAACAGGGTGGCCTCAACAGCTACAAAACTGTTATTCTCTGTACTGGGCTTTGTATGTAAAACAGGAATAATTATGCTCATTATTACATACAATTTCAAATCAAAACCACGTCGAGATACAAATAATGTACT